TGTGCCCTTGACAGCAGCTCAAAATAGGTTCGCAACACGCCAATTTGCTAAAAGAAAATCTTGATGAAGAGACTAATGTAAAGATCACGAGATTAGACATTTTGCTAATCCAATCTTAGTATGAGTCAGCAATAATTTCCACGGCGAAACAGAGGGGGGGGGGGTATAACCCCATCCCCCCATTTTGTATCAAAGATATGAAAGGTGTTTTAGGTCTGTGGCTTCCGTTCTCTTCTGTTCATGAGAAGAAAATTACTTCTGGAGGTTGCAACTTCGAGGGATTGCAGCTTTCTGGATTTGCTAGCATAAATGGCTTTATCGCGCCTCCTTTTTTGAGCTTTCCACCATAGTTTCAAATCGAAAGATGATATGGGAATACGACGCCGTCGATAGTTGAACCAGAATGGAAAGCGACAAAGGACAAGATTCAAAAATAAGCACTCGCAAGAAAAAAATGCCCTTCCTTAAATAAACGCCCACCTCAAGCTCCCTCCCCCGATAAGCGCCCTGTGCAAAAACAGCCAGTAAACGCACCCTTCCCCCGGTTTCCCATCAATTTCCTTAATGACAGAGACACAAGGGAAATCTATTTCTTTCGTATCTGACCTCGTTTATCAGTGAACTACATCAGTACCAACGCATTTGGGGCAGGAGCCTCACTGATTAAGCGACCTCATTTCAATAAACGACATGAGGGAATGGGTCATATCCACCGGGAACGATTTACTTCAAATGACTGACTTGGAACAAGCTAAGTCATCGCCTTATCTTTGCAACAGAGATTTGGTCATAGGCACTTTAGAGTCCCTCTCACCTTAGTGTCGCCAATACTGGTGGACGACTTGTAGACCGTGACTTAAACCTATAAACTTTAAACAAGAGATTATATTTTATAATCTCATGCCTAAACCTCAGCCTCCATGATCCCAGACCCAGGATGAGGGTAACGGGTCATTTCATTTCAGTTGATTGAGCATTTTTTTCGTGAGGCGAGGTACCACTTAATATGCAAGCCAACGGAAAACACGTCATTTCAAGAACATTTTAACACATTTTCCTTAACCCTTTAACTCCCATGAGTGACCAAGATAGAATTTCTCCTTACAATATCATAACAATAATAAGTAGATGAGTGTAGAGAATAAAGAAAAATAACAATGAGGGGATTACTAGTTGATCCAATATCAAATTCTCTGACCTAACATCATAATGATTGCAGACAGTAAGGAGAATTACTAATGAGATCTTGGGAGTGAAAGGGTTAAATCCATGTTAAAGATGATACATGGATAACATTGTTTTTCTCTTACTAACAAGAAGTCGAGCATGCAGACAAAACTCACAAATTTTGGTTCAGGAAATGCTTCGCACGTATGTCCCACGCGGTCTTGCTCCGTTGTGTGCTCAAATTTTCCCTTGTGATTCAATCCCACCTTCCCCCCACATACACACGTAGAACTTCCGCATTGATTAGCGTCTGCCTCGTTCTTAAATCTACATTACTTGTGCATTGGGCTTGTTCGATGGCACTTCAACAAAAAACAATCACTAAGCATCAAGTTCAGCAAAAATCTTGGAGGAGAAAAGCATTTCGGTCGGCTGTCGTAAAACAGAAGCCAAAGTTATCGCAACAGCCAATGAGAGGAAAGAAAAATTTTTCAAGGAGCCAATGAGAACGCAAAGTAAAAACTAGATTAAGATGAAGCCAATAACAAGCGTTTGATTGGTTGAGAAGATAGTGCGGGTTTTCCGGCCCAATCACATCGCGAAGGAGAGCAAACACAAAGCCTGACGGTGGATCCCTTTAGACCCACAATTGACAATTGCTTTGATCTTTACCTTGAAAAAGAGATTAGAGGCACAGATCTCCTCTTGCCCTCTGGCTTGTGTGCAGATTTTCGATGTGGCACTATCAGTTTTTTTTTTTATGATATACCTCAATTAGTGACCTTTTTTTTACTTGAACAGGGTAGCGAAATGCGCAGATTTTGTCCAAAAGAGGGTCACATTTTGAGAGCCTCAGAAATACAAACTAAGCTGCCTCCCTGACTTTTCCAAAGTGACTCAGAACAAGAACAGAAGACGACGGAGAGTGAAGCTCTCGACTAAAGGCTCAAGATAGGCCAACATTATTAAAAGTTCATTTAACAGCCAACCTTGAAATTGTTCAACAATGTTGTTGGTGGTGGTACTTGATCTCGAGCCTCAACCGCCCCCTTGCAGTTTGCGGACAAATCCGAGGGTTTCCAAATATGAAGGGTAAAATCACAGCGACGAATAGGTTCCCGAACAGAGACACGCTAGAATTCGATTTTAAGCAACCCACATTTTGGCCACACATTGCCAATGTCACGCCCTATTCAATGTCACCATTTCAGAGGGACACCCTTTTATAACCGCGAAATCGTAAAATTGTGTACCCCGTCTATGATCCAAAACTCGGAGAACCATACCCTGATTGGCGCACATACCTATTATGGTGAAGTAAGCGATTGTCTCCGCACCCCTCCCCCCTCCCCTCCCCCTCTCTCTCCATAAGGAAACTTCTGGATTCAAGATGAGCAAAACTCCTTGCATTTGTCCCCGTAAATTTATCTGCACCAAAGTTTTCATAGCAATATTTCAACATATAACCACAGTATCTAAGAATGAAAACTATCCAATGGATTCTCAAATCCTATACTCAAACTTATATTACAAGAGACAGAAAAGATACGGTGACTAAACACCCTGCACAAAACAATCGTGTAGATAGGTTATAATCACAAAAGAGCGACTCTCAAATAATACAATTCACGAGAACAATGAAATTAGGTCCACCTCTAACTAACAATTCAGTCACGACTGACTTGAACTCACTGTAAACGTTAAAATGTCTCCACTGAAATCTCCCGTCTCAAAGCACCACACAAATCGCTCGATGACGACTTTAAAGAAACCACGGTAGCTCTCTTTAGCTCTCTGAGAATAGCTTAACTGCTCCTAACAGTTACTTTCTGACGATAAGAACATCTGCAACTGCCATAGGAACCCAAGCCCTTATATACAATTATGAAATATTCTAGAACATTCGGCCGTTCGCAAACGTAACAACACCACTATTCTGGTGGCATTACATCATCCGAAAAAAATGTTCGAGGGCATTCCATGGCGTGACACAGGAACACGAAGTGTATTATTTACATTGTGTTACAAGACAATCGAAGACAAAGTTAGATCATTGAAAAGGAAAGCAGTTAAAAGTCTCAGAATAGGATTATCCTGGTCGAGGCAGATCATGTTATCACGGACTCACGATCTATAGCTCCGGGAATGCTCTAATTCATATTTTGTTGATGTTGCAAATCACGATGTTTTGGAAGTCGACGATCAAGACTCCCACTCCAGTGTAAAATGAATAACGGGTGGTGATCGGTTACATGATTTTTCATTCAACACAGTTGGCACTGAATACATTAAAAACATCTTAATAAACCTTGATCCCAGCAAGTCGGTCGGTATTGACAACATCTCTCTTGCCTACTACGCCTATTTGCGCCGAGCGTTACAGATGAAGTGACTTATCTAATCAGTCATTTCATCACGACTCAGTCAATACTCACTGAGTGGAAGAGCAGTATTATCAGTCCTGTACATAAAAAGGGCAGCAAATCTGAAAAATCCATTTTTCGCCTCGTTTCCATCTTGACTACGTTTTCAAAAGTCTTTGAGAATGCTATTTTTGATCAGATGTATGCTAAAATAGCTCCTTTGCTTTCTCAAAATCTCTCTGGATTGTTAAAGAGTCATTCCTACTCTATTGCTACATTAAAAATGACAGAGGACTAACGTGCTATCCTGGATGCTAAAGATTCTGTTGCAGTTGTCGCAGTGGACCTCAGCAAAGCATTTGATGGTGTCAATCATAACCTCTTTTTTGCTAAACTAAAAGCCTACGGCTTTTAAACCACTGTAACCGATTTAATTGGAGAGTAATCGAAGGAACGACGCCAAAGGGTAACGACTGAGGGTATTTGTTCTGAATGGAAATGTGTCATGGCAGTTGTCCCCTAGGGATCTCTGCTTGGCCATTGTTATTCAGCATATACATAAACAATGTCAAATACAGTATCCCGTACATGACACTAAGACTAAATGACGATGACACCACTGGATATAATTCTGATACTTAATTCATCTTTAGCTCTACAGTTCATGGTAAATAACAAATTGTCCTCGCTGTCTACATGGTTCGAGCAAAATTTACTCTCAATTAATAACACCAAGTCACAGGCTATGATCCCTGGCTCGGCTACACACAAGTGGGACCTTTTCATCAACGGCATGAAGGTCGAAGTGAAGTCTACTCTCAAGATTCTAGGAGTAACGTTGGATAGGAAGATTTCTAACAATGAAACGTATTTCAGCAAAGTTACATAGAATTTATTACAAGACCTCAGCTCCTAAAACGAATATCTGTCTTTGTAATGCAGTTTTAGCCTGTCTTAGTAAGGAGCAGAGCGATAGACTCGAAGATGCTAACTATTATATCTTAAGAACTCTATTTAGGACAAAGAATGAAAGCCACGAAACCTTACTGAGTATCGTTGGCATGAATATTTTGAAACATCGTCATTATTACCAAGCTCTGGTGTTGACTTATAAATGTCTTAACTCAATAGGTCCAAAGTACATTGCCGATTTTCTGAATTTGAGGGACATATGTTATAAACTAAGTGGTAAGGGAAGTAACTTGAAACAGCCTCATTTTAACACTGAGTGGATGCATAAATCCTCTTCACTTATAGCTTGCAAGCTGTGGAATAAGCTACCGTTATACATTAGAAACTCAGATAATCTTAAAGAGTTTAAAAAGGCTTTTCATAAGTTCAACTTAGGATCCTTATATTAGGTTATTTGATCATTATTATTTTTCTCTAATCTATTTTATTCCTTTTTATAGTTTGTGACTTTTCTAAATGTTCATGTTAAATTTTAACGCTTTTAAAAATAACAGATTGTTATATAATGATGTATTTTTAATGTAATAGGTATTACATCTTAGATAGTTAAAGTTTCTCACTTAGGTTTTTGTAATTTTTTTTTCCACACGTGCACGTTCGAACGAGTTTCTGTTAACTCTTAGGTGTTTACGTGTTTAAATAAATTACTTACTTACTTATTTACTACCTTTACAATTACAGCTAAGCCTACAGCAATTTTTTCTCCAGGCGACCTATTTCTACTCTCAACTTCAGCAGAACACAAACCCCTCTGGCTGCCAAATTAATCACCTTAAGAACAATAATGATAACAGTAGTAATGGTATCATTAATAATAATTCATTAATAATAATAATAACCATAACAATTGTTTAATGGCAAAATTAAGAACAATATTAACGACAATATCAATGATAAACAACAATTCACCGAAGTACAGGTGGGTTAAAGTGGTAAATATCCACCGCTGGCGAGCGACACTGAGTTGAATAATTATTTTAATGTATACTGAAACCGTGAGATAAGTTAGCACAAAACCTTGCTATCCACTGTTTATGTATATACTTATAATAACCATGACATTTATGAAGGTAACCCAAAGTTTCAAACCATGAAATTACAATCCTAAATTGCAGTCATGAATAATTATTGGATGATAACTTTAGATAAAACCTGGACTTCTGATACATTTTTATACAAATTAAAATTCAGGTTATCCCATGTCCATGAAGATCAACTTCTTGGCGAACTCATAGTTCATTTTTCGGACAATCTTAATCGAAGCTTTCTGCACCATCTTTCCCATATCAGTCGTCTGAGGGGTCATAAGATTTGCGTCTCTCTGATGGATGATAATTACCAAGCACCGAAATACATAGATGATATACAAATGCACCATGCCTCCAACAACTAGGTCGTTTTGTTATCTGAGTTCGGCTTTCAGTCTATGAAATCTCTCCTTTACAAATTCATAAAAGTCGTATTCTAATTGCAGATGTTTCTTCATTATTTGTTGTACTTCTGGAGAAGGTCCTATCTTATTCACGGTTTTAGTTGATGTCATCTTGGAATTGAGGTTATCGTCTTAAAAAAAAAACGTAAAATAGATTTAGGAAACTTAAAAGAGAAAAAGTAAATGTTTTACATAAGATATGTGCCCAGTGTCTCACGCTTTATCCCCATCATTTTGACGCATTTTAACTGAGTGTCCCAGAACCATAACAACAGTAATTATAACATCCAATCAGAAGCCGGAAACAAAAATGTCACTACGAACAAACGAAAACTCAAAGGAAAATGCTTAAAGCGTGATTAACTACCATACCATGTCAATGCTGACGTTCGTAACGTTTAAGTAAGTCATTGTAACAAGCTTTGTTTAAACTAAAGAAGGGCAACCCTCTGATAATAATGGAGTTTTCGTAACTAGTGTTTAAAAGAACTTCCTTACTGTTTTTCAACAGACGTGTCTTAGTGAATTGCTCAAGACAGTGATAGAGAAGCGTCCGGCATGTTTCTCTTTTTTAATTTTTTTTCGATACACACTGACCTGGAGTCCTGTAGATGTTTAACACACCCGAGAAAAATTCTGGTAAAAGTTTCTCAAGAACAAACAGAAAATCTTCCAACTCCTCAGTAACACCCACAACCAGATAATTTCTAATGACGTTTATCTTGGCCTGTGTAAGAGCTAGTTCGGTAGGTCTCCTAGACATAAACAAAAAGGAAGGAGATTAGGTTGAAAATCAAGAGGGATTTGGTTAAAGGTAAAAGTCTTCTCCAGTGACAGGCTGACTCGACATACAAACAAATACTTCATTGTGGCTACCTATGACTACCTCTATAAATATATATATATATATATATAAAGTGCAAAATTTGACTTTCGTAAAACAGTGCTCAATACATAGGAGTAGAGCGATGTATATATTGTGGGAGAAAAAAGACAAATAAACTAATTCCTAAACTAAACTAAAAATTCCTAATCATCTGCCGACCCGAACTATCAACACGAAACAAATGTAATGAACTCGTGTCTTCCTGCCGCCACAGAAACAAAGCCCTCCTACGCAACAACTAAACTGTTAAATTTTGTGCTGCAGAAATTAGATTATATTGTATATAAGCGATGGTAAAGATTATTCTCATTAAATCCCCTGATGAGTGGGCAACCACGAAACAGGCTTGTAGAGATGAACTTGAAGTTTATTTGTCTTTTTCCTCCCACAATATATATAGGCAAATATCCTCTATTTACACCCAGATGTAGGTGAACAACTGTTTGATATTAGACTAGAAAAAGTTTAATAAGTGTAATGCTTAACAATAATTGGCTGATCAGCTCCAAACTTGCTAATCAACGCATACGAAAAGCATCGTTCACTTGTGTGTCAGACCTTTAAGTAGGTTAATCGCTGTTATCTCCTACCCAGAGTTAAACACATTGCGACTCACTCGTCGAAATAACTGTTCTCACCTGCAGAAGGCTTCATGGCCGCAAAAGTAAGGAATGATGTACAAAATCCTTTGAGGATCGACGCATTCTTTCATTTCATTTTTGACGCATTCGTCAAATGTCTAAAGAGAGACAAATAGGCAGGCAAAATAAAAAGTTACTTTTAAAATAAGTGGGGCTTTTAGGAAGTTAAACGCGTTTGTTTTCAGTTTTTCAATTGAGTTTATGTTGACTTCTCTCAGCCGAGGGGTGAAAGATCTAATTTTTTTTTTTGGGGGGGGGGGGGGGGGGGTGGTGGGGTGGAGGAGGAGAAAAAAGTGAAAGTCAGCTTAGGAGCCTGTCAGCTTAGGAGCCTGTAATGTAATGTAATTCGGCCACCGTAAAGAGTTTAAAAGCTGACCTTTCGAGCGTTAGCCCTTCGTGAGAGCGACAGCGCTTGACACTCGAAACGTCAGCCTTTTAACTCTTTACGGTGTTCAACTTACGTTATCAACTCAGTTGATTACACAAAATTACCCTGTTCTTTGGAATGTCACGCAACGCCTCCCCCAATAAGAAGTGGAAACTGAGAACGTGGCATGACATACCAAAGAACGGCCGCAAGAGAAACTGGTAGCTAGTACAACACAAACCATATTTTTCTCTTCCTCTGTGCCTTTGAAGCCCCATGTTCTTTGGGCCCCTCGATGATCCCCGAATCTGTGGAAGTAGTATGAAGAGACAAGACGAGCCAGTGGATCCCGTATGAGGTTAATGTAAATAGGTTGAACTGCGCCGAACCTGGGGTGAAGAATAGATACGTGCTCAGCTCTTGACTGCTAACGCACCGATCAACTCAAAGCTTAAAACTCCTTCTCCGCTACAGGCAACTCAAGAACATTTGACTAACGTCCGTTCTCAGGGGTGGGGAATTCGAAACTTGCTTGGGTGGGGTGGGGTGGGGAATTTGAACAAGTCAAGTCTTTTCAATGTAATACACGTGTTATTTCCTAGAACATGGAGGTAAAAAGGTCTTCAAGGTTCGGGTTTAAATACTTCACTCAATTGTCGTTCATTGAGTAGAAAGTCACGGTCGCTAATCCTTCTTTTTACCAAAAATGTGACCATCAAATCGGGCAATTGTTTAGGGCATTTGAACACAATTAATCATAATCATTAAAAATTCCTCAAATATTATTGGTGCATTCGCAGCTTCATTTTTCACTAATCATTCTGTACAGTTGTAATCGGACAGTTGGCTGTAATCGGAAAAATGCTGTAATCGGACAGTTTAAGCAGCCAATCATACAAAGTCCACTCAGCTAATCCACCAATCACAGAAATGATCAAAATAACCACAGCAACAACCACTTATCCAAAGAAAAACTGGGGAATTTCCAAAATGGAGGAATTTTTAACTTATGACACTGTCTTCACTGGAGAAATTTGTTCTAGGTGCATTTGTTTTTTCGAATTTTAAATGGTTATGATTTATTGGTAACAGGAATTCTTGTCGTCCAATTCTCTCTGTAATCATACTCGTGATTAACAAATCGGATTCCCGCTTCACGGTCGTCCGATTTTGTTAATCACTCGTATGATCACAGACCGAATTGGACTCCACTTGGTCCTATTACCATTATTAATCGGCAGCAAAAGCGGAAATTTGAACGAACTAATCAAAAGTTCAAGTGCCCGGGGGTTGCCAGGGTTGGGGGGGGGGGGGGTGGGGGGGAATGATGAAGCTTTGATTGATGCATACTTACTAATTGTTTACATTTCCCTTTAAATTAGACTAGAGAGGCTAACGTTCCAGCAACATAAAGGTCTCCAGGTAATAAGTTTTCGATTCATATCACATTTTACCTAAATTATAACTCGATGTTGAAAGGTTAATCACTTCTTGTAGTAAAAGAGTAGTTTTTAAGGTTATTTCATTATTAAGTTTCGACCGATAGATTCGTTGGGTAGTTTGTGACCTTCGCCTTTCAACAGGAAATCGATAGTTAACAAATATTCACCACTTTCGTCGACACTGAAGTGAATGATTTTTTAAATATTTAACACGCAAGAAAAGAAAATCAGTTTATTTCACACCAGGTACCAAAAAATGGTCGAAAACTAAACTCTTGCCACGCGCATTTGTCTTCAGATTTAGCTGATTAATCCCAAGCTTATTAACGAGCGCGTGAGAAACTCAACACTAACCCGCGTGGTATCTATTAATTATTATCAATGGATCATTAGTTTGAAAAAGATTGAGTTTTATTCTGATATGATGATGAAGGTTTGAATCAAATTTACAAATGTATGGCTACAGCTCTAGTTGGCGATTAATTCTTTTAAAAGCTATTTCAAGGGTTTCTCTTTCAAATGATTATGTTAATTATACCTCAAAGTATGCGATGAAGGAGTTCTCACCTCTTAAAGTCGACGAAATGTATGTGGTGATGATAAATGACTGGTGACTGAAGATGATCTATATAGTCCACAAATTCAAGCTGAAATCGTAAAGGTTTGATATTCCATCATTCCAACAAGAACAAAACAAAAAGAAGAAAAAGGTACATGTGAACCATTCAAATTCTCTAAAACGCGCAAAGTAATCCGGGATTGCATTGTTTTGACTTTGCCTCGCTCTGTGATCATGATTGGTCTTTTAAGATCGCGCAATCTTCCCAACCAATCAAGTACAAGACTTCTAAGAACCAATCGTGACTAAGTTAGTAATGATTTTCATCGCCACAGGTGCTTACTTTTTTCAGTGTTGGTTTAGATTTTGCGACACTCAATTGAAATGAGCTCTGTGAGTCTCTGCTGAGGCTATGTTTGTCTTAATTAACCCTAACTGAGAGCCACGACTTAGACACCTGTGCGGTTATCACGAATCCAGATCCCACCAGCGTGGTTAGTGAGCGACGACGGCTTGTGCATGGATAAACTTCAGGATTTCTGGAGGTCTTGGGACTTCGTTTGGGAGAACACGAGATACTAATTCTCGAAATCTCTCCAGGTTTTGATTTGTGTAAATGCTAAATAAAAGAGGTCATCGTTACCTGTTCTCGCAGGTTTAGATGTAGAATACTATTCTTGGTTGATCCAATCACTGTATAATTGAGTTTTCCTGTGAGACTGATCATGAGCTGTATCATGGTGCGGCTTCCACATTTTCCTACTCTATTGTAAATAATTCTTTTCTACAGCAAAGAAGAAAAAAACACACGACTATTTAGTGATAATCAATATTGGTCGGAAAGTCACCCGAAAAAAGATTGAAAGAAAACCTCGAGCCGTTAGGAAGAAATGAAATGGATGAATACGTTAGGAGAGGAAACAAGCAAACTTGCTAACGAACCATTGAACATAAGTAGATGCCACGTAGGTAAAAAGTGCTTTTCGCGCGCGCTAATTAACCAGTTCGGATGTGACTAACAATTCCTATTCACCTCCGAGCTGCTGAAGAGACAGAATCGCGCGTCAAAACTGAGTTTAATTTCTGACCACTTTTCGCTGTCGTTAGCAAGGACAATGAGCTTTCAGATCTTGCGTCTGAAAGGGTAAACGAATGAATTCGCTCTTAAATGTTTATGTGAATTTTTAAGGATAAGGATATTTGCAGAGGCAAAATTATGATATGGAATAACTCCATAGCACTTACCACTTTTCGTGTTGATTTCACAGGTGAAAAATCTAGAGACAAAAACATTCTCATGAGTCAAAACGAAAGGCATAACATGAAAGAAGGTGTTTGAAGGCTTTTATTGGATACAGCTTCCCAAGGAAGCAAATGGACTATGATATTGTCATGGGGAAGGGGGGGTGCGTCACTCTCTAGGGGTCTTCATTGTGAATTTTCTCCCGTCCTTTTTTTTACATGCATGAATGTCTGCTAAGGAGGGGGGATGAAATGACAAGATGATTTGGTCTTATCAACTGAGCTGATAATGTAAACTGGCCACCGTAAGGAGTTTCTAAGCTAAGGTTTCAAGCGCCCTTCGTCAGAACGAGTTATTTGCTCTGACGAAGGGCGCTCGAATTTCAGCCTAGAAACTCTTTACGGTGGCCAATTTACATCACCAACTCAGTTGATAAAAGCGAATCATCTTGTTATACTCCCCCACCGACGGAGCATCATGGTTTTGTCTTCTCTCCTACAATGTATCATGGTGGTTTTTTTTTTTCCCAGGATCTCATTAAAACTCATCATAACAGCACTGAATGAACCAACCAACGTAGTGGTGCCTACGAGCATCCCAGAATAGTCCGGGCTATAGACAGCTTTGTCCTTACCATGACGTCATGAAACATGGCGTAACGGTCCAATTTTTTAAAACTTGGGCTAGCACCACATTTTAGTCTCGCATTTTTGCCTCTGATATTCGCCCTTGGAACCCGATTTAATTGATAAACACAGAAAGAGCTTCGCGTCAATAGAAGTAAAATGGCGTCGGTTGAAATGTGCAGGGGAAATCCGCTGTGATGACTTATTTGCAGAATTTGATGATCAACTTGCGTTTTTGCATTGATCGATCCACGTCTTAACAATTTTATTCTGTTTTTTCAGAATTGTGTTTCTGACAGCTTTTAAACATCGACTTACTTTAACCCCTTGGATACTATGGAGAACACACATTCGCCAAAAATTTTAATTAACAAATGTGAACGTTGTCCCTGCGAAGCAGCTGCTTAAATTTGGAAGCCGTTTTTCAATTAATTCCCACGTGTATCCAATGGTTTAACTTGTTTGTTATAAAATGCCAAAATCGAAGAAAATCAGTGTTTCACCGCCGATTTAAGGATAACAGGCAAATTGCGACTTCGTCCAGAGAAATGTCTTTCAATCAGAAAAGGACCTGTGACAGTAAGGCCCATAGAATGTTGGCAATCCTGTACTTTGCCGTGTTTATTATTTGCTTTCTTTCAAATGATCTATACTGACGTGAAAGAAATTAAAAAGGACAGTCAAACGATTAAAAATTCATCGGAAAAATATCTCGTTGTCACCCACTGTAACGATAAATCAACAGACTGTTGGTTTGGAAAAACCACAAGAGCTGAATAAAAGGAAACCACTCTTTGTTAAAAGCCGTGTCAACTGTTTGATTTGATGACAAGTTAATCAATGAAATCGGTAGTGCCGGACCAAGAGCGTGATTTCTCCTTTTAATAGCCTCCTGTTGTTGTTATGGAACCCACTAAAAACCCTGGAAATCCATACGTTTTAAGCATTTTTTAATGTTAGGATTTAAATAACTAAGTATTTTCACTGAAGAACCGCAGAACCTCCCAAGCACCATTTCGGTGAAGAAAGAAAAGCCTTTAAAATGTTATTTTTAAGAGAAAAATGAGAGCACTCTCTCTTAAAATCTAGGGAATTCGTTTAAAGAAGAGTTACGCATAAAAACAAGTCGATTGGAAAACAATTAATCACAATATTTCATTAATGACTTTCTGTTGATTAAAAATCTCGCTTCTGCAGCATGTAAATTCTGAAATAAAGGTGTATGAATTTGAGATAAAATTGATCACGACAGTTAAATCTGTAATCCGATGATACAGAGAAAGAAATGTGATCGGAACAGGTCAGGCAATTTCCAAACTAGCCTCCCCACTCATATTTATTGCTTTGGTTCGTTGTCAGGCAAGCTGACAAAAGCCAATTCTAACCTATTTTCAACCATTGTTTGCTGTATTGGCTAAAAAGCTACATTTATTTTCCGAAAGAGATCATCTACCATCAAGCATAGGATAAAACTCTTGCCTTTAAAAATCACGGCAAGATTTCTGTATATCCCAATACTTATGAATGTAGTGCTTGGATGAAAGAAATCAGTGACAAAATAAGAAATTACCCCTGGGACTACGGCTTCGTTTTGTAATAACATAGAGTTATTCGGAGTTCTTTCCAAAACCAAATCACAAATATGTGCACACCGGAAACTCTTCCCTACAGTTATCTAAAAAGCACACAAATGAATTAGTGTTCACCGATGGACCTACCTTCCCAGGTTTGAATATTTATGTAGTGGCTCTTCTGCACATTTGTGACTCCTGCGATTAGCGAGGATTTTACATGGTAATAACTTGTCAAGTAATATGAAATTGTACATGTCGCCAAAACGAACGTGATCAAGACCACAAACAGCAGGGAAATTTTGAATCTTCCCCTGGCCTGCATTGTGGTTCTACCCATGGCTGTATCCAAATGAATCATAGCTGTTAATGTTGTATCTCGAGGTGATTATGTAAAACTAACGGAATTGCTAATAAGCTGCGTTGGCCCATTGACAAACCAGCGATCGCGGGTAAATAATCACTCGATTGATTTGTGTGCCATATTTAGTTACGTGACGTGCAACAACACAGGATATAACCGCTGAAATATCAAATTGTTATTGTCGTACTGATGTGAAATTAATAAACAGCAGCATCAAAACAACAAGGAAATCTCCTTCTTGACTACTTTAGAGTGTTCCTAGTGTCTGTCTCCGAATGAATCATCGATTTCATTGTTTTAGCTTCAAGCAATTTTTCAAAACGATCTGAATAAGCAACGTTAGCCGGCCTCGTAAACACTTTTGATCGCGGCAGAACACTTTGTGTGACATTTGTCATAATGTCAGGATACCGCTGATATAAAGATTTGCAAATGTCGCAAATATGTCGCAATAACAGTATCAAACAGCAGGGAAATTTTGAATCTCCCTTTTACCTAATTTTTGGTACATCTCCGAATGAATTATCGATATTAACGTTGTATCTTCAAGCAATTATGTAAAACGAGAATGAAAAGACTCGATCTCTTAGCTCTCCGGGACACAGTTTTCATAAAATAGTCAAGTTACTAAACCTAAAGAAAGCGTTTTGAAGCGAATTCAAGGCTCATTTTGGGAAATTTGAGCACTAATTAATCAACTCATCGATCGTCGCCACTGAATTGGGGAAATTTAAAAGCCAATTTCATTCAGCGTTTCGAGAAATACCTTTTAGAGCTGTGCTCCTCAATCAAGAAGTCTCAAACAACCTAAGAAATTCAGAGAAGAGTCTTAGACGATGATTGTACATGAGTCAACTTGCCACCAGTGGTCTTTCCAGTTGAATATACGGGTTTTATCCCATGACCCCTTTTTTTAAATCCTTTTGCGAGTACATGGCTCAAAAGTAAGGGCCTACAAGAAAGTCACGGATCTTGCCTCTTACAAAAAACTTACCCATCAAATCCTGCACTTGGGTGGGGCATTTGACTGACACAAATTTTAGCCCAGAGGGACGGAAATTTGAACGAACCAATATTAAAAGTTCAAATGCCCAGGGGAAAGGAGTTGCCCGAAGAGAGGGGATGTTAAAGCTTCGAATTGATCAACGCATTGGCATTGGCCTCTTCGTGGGCAAGGCTGAGAAACGAAAAATTAGTCAAACGGCCGTAAATTTCATGTGACTCAATCTTAAAGCGTCATAAATGGTTACATACTTTTTTCTTCTTGTTCAGGCAGCCTTTTATTGGCGTCTTTGTGCACATTCTGTTTTTCAACTTGCTATTTCACAACATCTTGTATAATATTTTTCAGCGACATCCCACAAGTTTAACAGCCTCCTGTTTAAAGAAGCTCAGCTAGCAAGCTGACATTTCTTTCGGTACCCAGGTCCACACCTTAATTACCCACATTATAGACCTTCATTCAAATGTATGAACCTCTACTAAATTTACAATACAATGTTTACACTGCGAGTCTGACACTTTAATGGTTCCTTTTTGAGTTCGCGGATGTTTTTTTGACACGTATCAGAACAAGAGATTCAGAGCTGATTAGAGAGTTCTGAAAACATAAATAATTTTAAGGTTGCGCGGCCAAGATGATAGGCCAATCTCCTCTTCGATAAAATAACTGTGAAAAGCAGTCGCTTTTCTTCTTGAAGAACTATTCCAGACAAAAGGCAGATTGAAACGGTCCAATTTGTTCTATGGCTAATGATGAAAAACAGCAGTTATTTCATTTGTGTTTCTTGTAAACAGTCTTATTTCGGTTACTGTAAAGATTTCGTATGGGTTAGATGTCTCTAGTAGCAGATTAGCTTCTGAAGGAGACCAAAACAACTTTCCATTAACCTTCACCTAATTTCAAATAATGAACACGTTTTATTTCGATCTCGACCATACATGCTTCCATTATATAAATCGCTTGGGTTGATCAAGTATGACTCGCTTTATATTTACGTCGCGCGATTAAAACTTAACTACTGCGCGATTTAGTTTACGTTTCATTTCTGAATACATGTAAAGATAAACACTTTTAGGGGCAACTTTACTAGCCTGGGGAGTCATTCCGAGCGCGCAAACTGTTTCAATTTAATTCATTTTAATAATATACTGAGCTTATAAACAAGTTAAATGATAAGGTGCTCTTTCTAGTCTTAGAAAAGACGCCTCTTCTGTACATTATGCATAGAAAACTCTAGTTTTCCATGAGTTTTGTAACCATTTTTATAACAAATAAAGAAATGTTAACTCGTAATGAATTATCTTTAAAAATAAGGAGGCTACACCGTGTTATTTCGCCTTTATCGTTCATTCAGTTATGTACAGCCATGAGTTCTTTTTAAAGTGTTCAAATACACAACATTAAGTTTGCATTGGTTCAAACAAACAACGATTTCTCTCAACTACCTCAGTTTAATAGATAACTTGTCTAACCACGGAGGAAGTTTAAGTAATTTACTCGTAGTTGCTTCAATCTTGTTTATGTTCTTACACTAGTCAATCGTTTTTACAACCAAGGAAGCCGTGAATACTCAGTGACGTCTTTACTCTTTTCTCCCGTTGCCGTCTGTTACAGAACCACACTCGCACCACCTCCCTATCCAGGCGCAATCCCTCGGCAATGCGAACGATTTCTTGGGAAGACGGTTTTGGTTGTTTAAGAAAATGATCTTCAAGATGTTCCTTAGCAGTCAGACCGATAGTGGTTCGTCTTTTTCTACGGCGTTCAGCGTTGAATTTATCACCACACGCCCCTCCAGAACATTCAGCCTCTTCAAGCCAGCGCGCCAGAATCGGCTTCAGCTTACAAGCGTTCTTAAAGCTTAGTTGCAGATTCTCGAAGCGGCAGATGGTGGTTTGGCTAAAATCTGTTCCGTGGACTGTTGCCAATGCTGCGCCAACGTTCGTCTGTGTAAAACCCAGCTTGATGCGGCGGAGTTTGAACTGAGTCGCGAACTCCTCCAATTCGCGCAGTTTTGAAGTGTCAATGGCAAAACCCAAGCCGTGATGTGGTGCTGACATACTGGGATCGCTGTCAAAATTAGCCATAGGGTTTAGCATAAATGGAGATGCCACGTGGATATTCGCTCGCGGGTCCATCTTACTGCAGTGAGTTACTGGCGGTAGAGAAGTGGGATGCGAAGGCATCATTGAAATGGGCGTCTCGCGAACCATTTGCTGAAAAGGCGCATAGGATACTTCGGGTGGATATGGAGGGCAAGCCATGGCTGATTACAAAGTCAAGCTGCCTTCGTTCGTCTTGCTGCCGGAATGAATGCGCAATCTCTGAACTGTCATTTAAAGCAAAGTCCACACGCTGCAGGCAATAATTGTAGATAACAAAACCAACGCGAGCTTCTTAGGAGCGGAAGACATCAAGTCGGAAACACGGCTAAAATGCCGATGTTTTAAGTTCAAAGTGCTCTGCTATCGCAGCGCTCTAAAGATGAGATAAACGCTGCGCTGTTTTTTTTGATACAGCGCGCGCTAAAAGCAAGTGTTATTTCCAAAGTGTGAATGAGCTTTGAAGAGAGATTGAAGAGATTTTGAGGGCGGAACGAAAATACAGTTGTTAACCTCACGCGATTTTTGACATATTTGATTCCTCGATATGATTTCCAAGCGTTTCTGATTTGTTCTGAACTCTAGATCCTTCGGTAGAGATGTAAATTTTTTATATAAACGTTTTTGTTCACACTGAAATCGCAAATATGTAGGAAATTTTCATTTTTTGGGGAATTTCTTGACCAGGAAAAAAATTCCACGGAGGTTAATGCATCAACATGAATCATGGAGCCAAATGAGCTATAAGTGTGTTTGATAATCGTTCGCTTTTCCAAAAGGCACAATTATTCGTAACTGTGTAGATCATATGGTTCTGTTGTTTCTCTCTGGACCTAATTAGAACTTAGTGTCGGAAGTTGAACACCCTTAATTTGGTTAAGAAAAATTTTTACTTGAGGCGAAGTCAATCAGCCAACGGTGTAAATTAAGGAGTTAGATTCCGTGAGCGGCTCGTATCGGATTTACTTGCCGCCTATTTAATCGCTCTTTTCTTCTAGCTAAAAAGGCATCGTAGTTGCAAGAGGTAGATTTAAAATTTGTTTAATCCAGATAAAGAAGATTTATTTTCCGCTCACTGACGACACAGATCGATTTGATTTTTTTCTTTTTTTTCCTGATTGCAGCGTACGATTTAAGGGAAGGTAATTCTTTTCTCGCGCGTGAAGCGATAACTGCCATAGTTAAAACCACAGGCGCAAATGTTTCCATATTAATGATTCCCAACGGAAGATGTTTAAAGATAAACGGCTGAATTCTGGCGACGAGCTTTGGATATAAAATATTAATGGACAGAACACATTAAGCTCAACTTGAAAAGATATACCGAGCTGGCGTATGAATTTTAACAAAAGATTTTGGATAATGATTTTTAAAATTCTTGTCAGAGACGTTGGCCTGGGTTAACATATTTCTAAATAATATTAAAAAGGTCATTCAGGTTGAGACTCAATAGGTGTCCGGGAAAAAAATTAATTGATTCTATACTACTCGGGGACAGATTTAATTTTGGTTTTGTTCGCGAGTAAATCGTGATTGTCATGATATGAAGTTCAAAAGAATCACCACGCTTTGATAAGCACGCGATTGATCGATTGAAGAATAAGTGGAGTTGACTATTAGTCAATTTAAGGTGAAAATGAATCCGTCATGCAGTCTGCGACTTTGAAGAGAATTTCGAAAGCAGGAGCCATATATGATAAAATCGAATGGTTAGCTGTCGAAAGAATAAAAAACTTCAAAGGCCTTCAAGACAGGTTGGTGAAAAAAAAAGGCAATTCAGTTATCACATGGGCAAATAGCAAATAACAAGTTGATTCTTGAATCAAGAAAGAAGGAAAAACTCTGAACAGACATTAGAAAAATATATGCAGAACAAACTTGACATGTGTAACGCCTGCAAAAAAAAGAGAACTTTTTTGAAGTAAAGTAGGATCTTTATTAAAATATGACATTTTTTTGTAATATCAAGGAATATCCTATTGAGAAAACAAATTGTAAGATCTCTCCCCATGCCCTTGCGGGCCATCAAGCTAAGATGGCGGCAGAAACTCAAAATGTTGTCGTTCTTCACAGTCGCCCAGGAGTAGACAAACCACCATCCGAATCGAACTTCGCACTGGAAAGAAGAAAAATTCCAGAATGCAAAGAGGGCGAAATCTTAGTGAAGACATTGTATTTATCTGTTGATCCTTATATGAGATGCAGAATGAATGAGGATTCTGGAACGAACTATTTGACACCGTGGTCCATTGGAGAGGCGCCAATTGGAGGAGGTGTGGGTCAGGTGATTCATAGCAGAAGCGAGAAATTTCACGAAGGGGATATTGTGCAGTCGGGTGGATGGCCATGGCAAGAATTTTCAGTTTTTCCTGTCTCTGGAGACCCCACATTGCAAAAGGTTAATAAATTGAGGTCATCTGTCGTGAATTTGAAGTAGAGGGTATAACAGTCAAAACTTCCGCTTAATCAAATACGTTTGATTTTTTTTATTTTTTTTATTTTTATTTTGATGTTAAGTATGTCTAACCACACCTGTATTAATTTGATGGAAATTAAGGGTTCACTGTGAACATGAAGACTGGCCCCCAAGTTAACTCCCCTCCTCTTTTTGGCCCATAACCTATCTTAATTTTCTGCTTACTATCAATTTTATCCTTCATCTTCAAATGTTCTTGAGAACCAGTTGCACTATGACTGCACTAAGGCAAAAGGACTTTAAACAATTAATGAGAAATATTAGAGAGATACATATTAATTATAAATTAAAAGGGTTCACTTTTTACTGCATTGGGGTTCAAGCAGTTTATTAATAAAAGGTACACTTCCTAAAATCAATGTGAAGAATGCTGAAAAAACCTTCTTACTTATTTCTGGTACTTTTTGTTATTTTATGAAGAACTAGCTTTGATGTGTTATTACTAACTATTTAGGAAGAAAGCCCATTCCTTTGTGCTAAATCATCTCTGTTGCTGGGGATTGTGGGTTTGACTGGACTGACATCTTATATTGGCTTAAAAGAAAAAGCACACATTGAGCCTGGTGCCAATCAAGTTGTTGTAATCAGTGGTGCTGCTGGGGCTTGTGGGATGGCTGCAGGACAGGTGAGAAATGGATCACCATTTGAGAAACAGCTGTCTGAAAAAAATATCTTTAGTTTTCTTTAGTATAGTACTACACAAAGCACAGTGAAATGATGTCATGACAGACACTCCTGGGGTGAACAGTGATTTTTGTGTTACAGATAGTTGATAGTTGCAGAAGCATGCTGTGATCAAACTATAAAAAATTACCAGTATAGTACAATCAACTGAGTTGATAATGTAAATTGGCCATGATAAAGAGTTTCGAAGCTGATGTTTCTATCATTAGTCCTTCCTCATTCACTCTGCAGAAGGTCTAATGCTCAAAATGTCAGTTTTAAAACTCTTTACAGAGGCCAATTTACATTTTATCAACTTAGCTGACAACACTAAATTACCCTGTTATACTCTCTCACTGATACAGCACCACAGTTTCTTTAAAAGCTTACCCTTTTTGTCCATATGAAAAATTACCTTTGAGACTGGAAAAAGTTTCTGTTTTTCTGCAGAAGCATTCATTTATATTTTAAGGGTGTTAGTGTCAATTGTATCTTTTACATCTGACTCATATGATAATTGCTTAGAGGAAGATAATTATTGCCATCCTCTCATTGCTTTTAAAAAGGAGAAGTGTGCTTTGGTAACTATGTTACTTTTATCTTCAGTCTGAAAAAAGTATGTATCAAAACCACAGTTTGAGATTCCAAAGAGTAAACACCTCTTAATGAGTATCTCTTATCAAGATTTTGGTGTAGTTAATGCTTTTCTGACCTTTATTTAGGATTTGTTTTCTTCTTACAAGATTAGTTGGTGATCAATCTCACCACTAGGCAATTTGCAACTTCCTTCTAAATGCAGTTCTTTTCCTCTTAATAAAGATGACTATTTTGGTTGCTAGTCATTGACTGAGTCGTTTATTTTTTAGTTTCAATGACCCTTTGATGCTGTGAATGAGGCTCTTTGATCAGTGAACATGTTACCCTTTACACCACTAACCCTAAGTCTACAACACAAGGAAGTAATACAGTTATGTAATTGCTATTTTCTCAGATTGCAAAGCTAGAAGGCTGTGGTGTTGTTGTTGGGATATGTGGTACTGATGAGAAGTGCTGCTTCTTGACAGAAGAGATGGGCTTTGATGTGGCAATTAATTACAAGACAACAGAGAACATTAGTGAACACTTGAAAATGAAATGTCCAGGAGGAATTGATGTTTACTTTGACAATGTTGGAGGGGAAATAAGCGATGAAGTGAGTTTGTATTTCTAATGTAAAAAATGATTACTAAATGTTCTCAAGTGGCTTAAATTATATTTGTTTATTCAATATGATATTTTATATTAAGTTTATTTAAAATTGCAGTGAGATTATAACTTCAGTTAATATCAACAGAGCTTAAACACCTACTTTAAAGATGTACCTAGCAAATAAAAAATATAAGATGTTTTGAAGTGAAGATTTTAAAAAATCAAATTTACCACAAAAAATTTGTCTCAAAGTAAGTCATTGGTATTGGCTTGCACTAAAGAAAACAGCTCTGATTTATTAAAATTTGGCTGCAAAGGACACTTATGCGTCAATCAATTTGAAGCTTCAACATTCCCCCTCCTACCCCTGGGTAACCCCCTAAGTAATGGAACTTTTGTAGATTGGTTTGTTTAAACTCCTGTCCCCTGAGCAAAATCATGTTCAAATGCCCCACCCAATTTTTTTGTAAAACTTGAAGGCAAAGTCAGCAACTGTGACTCTCTACACATTGACCAAGCTTTAAAACTGAGACCTTGTACATCTTTTCTTCCAAGCCACTTGTTCACGAAAGTAAACTATTTACATTTAACACCTCCATATTACTAGATATAACACTTATATTCCGCTGGAAAGACTTGACACTCCCAGTACAAGTTCCCCACCTCAATTAGGCAAGGTTCAACTTCCCCAACTGCCAGGCATGAATGACAGTCAAATGCCATTGATGTGGAGGTGGGGGAGGGGGAAGGGATGTTAAAGCTTTGAATTGATAGGTGCATTACTAAGAAATGGCCACAATTCAAGTACGTTCTTGTGTGAAAAACAATAAGCTCTTCATTTTGAAAAGTCCCTTGGAAGTCTAAAAAGTGCCTCCTCTTGGAAAGAGTTGGCTCTCTTGTGTAGGTAATAAATATTTTTCAGGTTAGAAATGTTTTCCTCAGTGGAGACCGAGCTTTGTTTCAAAAATCTTTGAATGAAGGTGTTCCCTGAACACAATTGTTGCAAAAGAAAGTTTCCAATGAAGCATACTTTTCACTTTTTGTTTGTTCTAGGTTATTCGCTGCATGAATAAGGACAGTCACATAGTATTATGTGGGCAGATTTCAGTTTACAACAAAGATGTTCCTTATCCACCCCCACTACCCCAGGACATACAAGACATACTGCAAACTAGGAAAATAACACGTGACCGTTTCCTGGTGTTGAATTACATGGAAAAGCTCCCGGATGGAAAAAAACAACTGGAGTCCTGGGTGCGAGAGGGAAAGTTAAAGAATCGTGAGACGATCGTGGAGGGCCTGGAGAACACTGGGAAAGCCTTTGTTGAAATGATGCGAGGTGGGAACATTGGTAAACAGATTGTGAAAGTGGCCGAGATTGTGCTTTGAAATGGTGACTTTTTGAATCACTATCTATGCCAATGATGTGAGCACGGTTATATTAAATAATCTAGATCTTTCACGGGATTGCTTTTTAATGAAATGACTTTGATAGACTAGTCTTTTATATATAAATATATAATGTAATATTTATGTATGAAAAGCGACCAAAAGAAGTTGTTTAAAAAAAACCAAAAAACCAAAAAATAGATGTTAAACCTTGTTTACTTCATAGAAGAAAATAATTTTGTGCTATATTTGGTGCTTTTAGTTTAGCCGTAGAGCAGTGGCTTGTAAACCACGATAAAAAGCCGAAAAACACTCCACAATTGCACCTTGCATTGATAAAAACGCAATAATTAAGATAGTAATGGTGATAAATTGAAGAGAAACACCTCTACGTTTAAGAGAGTGGATCGCTCTCCATGCAGCTACAAAAAGTTGCCTGACGGTTTTGTACACTTTTCTATCACACAATTTCCATCGCCCTCCTCCTGGGTCCTTTTGGGCTTATTGACGTGATTTACAGGTTTTTTAAGCCAAATAAAGCATAAGCTAGAGAAACAGTCACCAAAAGCCAAGAAATCTTGCAACCCGTAAAATATCCGCCTAGTTAATCCGTTATATCATTAAAGATGCATGTCGGTCTTAATTTTTGGTTGCCAAGCTATTGGGAGGCTATTATTACATGTGCGAGCAAAATCGTTTTAAATTCAAATTAAAACCCGGTTATGTGCATGAATTGCTGATTTGTAGCGGAGGTTGGAGGAAGATTTTCTTATTTATGAAAAGACCGACTGGAACTACATCTCGACAAGCTTTTTTTTTTACAGCAGTGTAATGAAAAACAGTCGCTGAACGCATCGAGAAAGTTTCAGAAAAACCGACAGAGTCGCACAAAAATTATATTTGCCGGTTACGATCATTATTACAGATGAAATCAGCTGAGAAAAACGATGAACATATGAGCTCCGCGACCGGATCGTTCGCTGAAAATGAACTTTCCACGCAGAAAAAACGCCGGTCTAAAGACATCACAGAACTAAAGGCTGAAGCTGAAGGCTTGAAAGAATCCTTGTCGAGCCTTACGACGGAAGATGAAAAATCACAAACGAAGGAAAGGGCGGCATATTTTGATGACCTGTTCCAGTTTTTAGGGACGACGAATGTTAAAATGGACAGGAAAGTGCTAGAGCACATTATGGAACTTTTAAAACTGGATGTACACCCAGACAATATTGTAGAATTGCTAACAACAGTGATGGCGATGGGAAATGAAGAGGTTATTTTTATTTGAGGGTAAACACTGAGAAAAACAGTGGACCTTGTCTTTGTCGGGATCACGAATGCCTCCCAGATGTTTGTTTTAAATTTAATTAACGAGGAATAATTATTTTTATTGTTTTATTCAACTGCAAGACGTGTTTTTTAACGTTCTTTTTTGTATTTTTGTGCGTAAGTACTTACTCGTGTATAATTTTTTCATATGCAATAATTTCACAATCCGGTTTTTAATTTTCTTTTGGTTTTTAATCGCAGTAGAATAGGCTGGTACAATGTGTACCTTAACAAAACTTAAATAAACAGTGGGACACCTGTCTGGAGTGGTAGGAAAACGAATGTTTCATTGTGTGGTGTCATTTGTTTATCATTTTTTAAATTTTGATTTAAATTTTTTTTATTCTACCCGACTTTAAAAAAGAAATATTAGAATTTAACTGTTATGACCTTGGTATTAGAGACTTTGAGCAATTGATTCCCTAGACGGCAGATTCTTTCCGGCATACGTCAAAGTCGCAGGATGGGTCATTTTCGTTATGCAGCTATATCTTCGTGTCAAATTGCTTTCAGCACTCCGTTGCAACACTCCACACTGTCCGATTTTTTATTCGTCACTCAATATTCAATGTTAGCGTTCTTTAGTAGATTAACTTGTTACCAAGGTGGAACGTTGCCAGAGATACAGTGCAACGACTGGGAGAACAAACCTCCCCCCTAATTAGAATTTAGACAGCAACAGCAAGCGTCAAATCTTGGGATGGTTAGCAGACGGGAATTATTTCTCGAGAATTCGTTTCCATTTCTAGCGGTTCATTCCATCTTCATAAAAATTACTGGTTCATGTTCAACGAAGGAGAAGGTGTTGTAAGATTGGTTTAAACGCGCCACGTGACCGAGTATTCGCTTTCTGAAGAATATCCTTAACGGGAAAAAATGATAATCACAGGCAAATATTGAAGCACTTTTCCGCAACGGCTATATCGAACTATAGGTTATTGTTCATTTAATCCCTTATCCAGGTAGAGCATATTTGGTCTCGCGATGCGGTTTGAAGTAAACACGGTAGACATTTTCACCCGGATGTGATTCCTCGGATTAAACCAATTTCAGCTACAAAATATTATTGTCATGTCTGAGAACACAGAGGGAAATGGCTATCGTCCTTCAGGCTTTGGAGGTTAACTTAACACTTTAAACCCTCAGAGTGACTAGCATCTATTTTCTCCCTACAATATTACCCGTGAATCAAATGCTATATCAAATGTATAGAGAACAGTATGGAGAATGTACATAGCGATGATAGGATGAAAAAGGTTGACGGCCACAATTTCGTTCCCAGGGGCTTTTCGGTTTTCAAAATGGCGGTTTTTTTGAAAATTAGAGGGCGCCTGGGAACAAAGGTTTGTCGCACGTGAGGAACGGGATTTCTGGAAAATCAAATGTTTTCCTCGTTTTACCAAGGGTTATTCTTTATCTATTGCGTTTGAAAGACTTTTCTTAGTTTTCGATAGACTTAAGATGATTCAATGCACTTTTTGAAAGCCTCTTCAAGGATGAGATGCAGAGGTTTACTGATAGTTGGATCAGGAAGATTTGTTATCATTGATCTGCGATGACCATTTTGCTTACATCTCACAGAACCAGGTAAGACTTGTACTTCATATCAGAAATGAACCAAATAGCAAGCTTATAGATACATAGGAGTCTGCTTAGTACCTAGACGTTCTTCTAACTTCACAGATGCACCAAAGCTGTGAGAGATAATTATAGACTTGCAAACTCCACATCGTAAATTATTTTAAATTATTATTTTTTTATTTTTTACCCTTTACGGTGGCTAATTTACGTTTCCAACTCAGTTGTTAACACTATATTACCTGCTATTTTTAAATAGGCCGCAAAAAATAAGAACTTAAACATTTCTTGGTAAGAACATTAAGAACAACTACGAATACAGTAGTTTGGCATGAGGCTGCTGTCTCAGTCGGTGGATTTCTCTTAACTGTTCGACTCCTAAAATTGACTAGTGTCTAATTTATTCCTATAATATCACTCCTGAATCACACGTTAAGGGCACAAGAATACAGGTTGATTGTTATTCTCCTTGTCAGCACCTCAGGATATGTCTATGGAAAAGTATGGAGAATATGCATACTGATGGTAGGGTGTTGAGGGTTAAGTGCTTTTTAATTAATTTGAAAGTAACAAACAAGCAGTTCAAGTATGTACTTCTCTTGCTGTTCTTCTGTAATACTGCATGTTCTGTAATACTGCATGTTCTGTAATACTGCATGTTCTGTAACACTGCATGTTCTGTAATACTGCATTTTCTGTAATACTGCATGTTCTATAATACTGCATGTTCTATTATACTGCATGTTCTGTAATACTGCATGTTCTGTAACACTGCATATTCGGTAACACTGCATGTTCTGTAATACTGCATGTTCTGTAATACTGCATATTCTGCACTACAACATGTTCTGTAATACTGCATGTTCTGCAATACTGCATGTTCTGTAACACTGGATGTTCTGTAACATTGGGGTCCTTAAAACTGCATGTTCTGTGGAGATACTGCATGTTCTGTAAAACTGCTTGTTCTGTAATACTGCATGTTCTGTTATACTGCATGTTCTGTAACACTGCATGTTCTGTAATACTGCATGTTCTGTAATACTGCATGTTCTGTTATACTTCATGTTCTGTAATGCTGCATGTTCAGTAATACTGCATGTTCTGTTATACTGCATGTTCTGTAGTGCTGCATGTTCTGTAATACTGCATGTTCTGTAACACTGCATGTTCCGTAATACTGCATGTTCTGTAACACTGCATGTTCTGTAAACTGCATGTTCTGTAATGCTGCATGTTCTGTAACACTGCATGTTCTGTAATACTGCATGTTCTGTAACACTGCATGTTCTGTAACACTGCATGTTCTGTAATACTGCATGTTCTGTAACACTGCATGTTCTGTAATACTGCATGTGCTGTAACACTGCAGGTTCTGTAATAGTGCATGTTCTGTTATACTGCATGTTCTGTAACACAGCATGTTCTGTAATACTGCATGTTCTGTAACACTGCATGTTCTGTAACACTGTATGTGCTGTAATACACCATGTTCTGTAATACTGCATGTTCTATAACACTGCATGTTCTGTAACACTGCATGTTCTGTAATACTGCATGTTTTGTAATACTGCATGTTCTGTAACACTACTTGTTCTGTAATACTGCATGTTCTGTAATACTGCATGTTCTGTTATACTTATGTTCTGTAATACTGCATGTGCTGTAATACTGCATGTTTTGTAATACTGCATGTTCTGTTATACTGCATGTTCTGTAACACTGCATGTTCTGTAATACTGCATGTTCTGTAACACTGCATGTTCTGTAACACTGCATGTACTGCATGTTCTGTAACACTGCATATTCGGTAACACTGCATGTGCTGTAATTATTATTAAATTTAAATTATTAAATTTAAATTTATACCGCGCAGTCTCTATAAAAATATTCAACTGCGTAATACTGCATGTTCTGTTATACTGCATGTTCTGTAGTGCTGCATGTTCTGTAATACTGCATGTTCTGTAACACTGCATGTTCTGTAATACTGCATGTTCTGTAACACTGCATGTTCTGTAAACTGCATGTTCTGTAATACTGCATGTTCTGTAACACTGCATGTTCTGTAACACTGCATGTTCTGTAACACTGGATGTGCTGTAACACTGCATGTTCTGTAATACTGCATGTTCTGTAATACTGCATGTGCTGTAATACTGCATGTTTTGTAATACTGCATGTTCTGTTATACTGCATGTTCTGTAATACTGCATGTTCTGTAATACTGCATGTTCTGTAACACTGCATGTTCTGTAACACTGCATGTTCTGTAACACTGCATGTGCTGTAATACAGCATGTTCTGTAATACTGCATGTTCTGTAACACTGCATGTTCTGTTACACTGCATGTGCTGTAACACTGCATGTTCTGTATTACTGCTTGTTCTTTAATACTGCATGTTCTGTAATATTGCTTGTTCTGTAATACTGCATGTTCTGTAATACTGTATGTTCTGTTATACTGCATGTTCTGTAACACTGCATGTTCTGTACATAGTTAGTTGAGTTAGTTGTCCCCTCAACTAACTATGTGTTGTAATACTGCTTGTTCTGTAATACTGCATGTTCTGTTATACTGCATGTTCTGTAATACTGCATGTTCTGTAATACTGCATGTTCTGTTATACTTCATGTTCTGTAATACTGCATGTTCTGTAACACTGCATGTTCTGTAATACTGCATGTTCTGTAACACTGCATGTTCTGTAATACTGCATGTTCTGTAACACTGCATGTTCTGTAATACTTCATGTTCCATAACACTGCATGTTCTGTAATACTGCTTGTTCTCTAATGCTGCATTTTCTTCATTATCCTGCATTCACAACAAAATCTGCTCCACAGCTCAACTACCTTCAGTGTAATTTTCCATGAATATCAAAAGTTATTCCAGTTGGCTGTGATTCTGTTTTACCTTGAGTGATTGGACCATAAAAAATTGGGCCACTTTCTTAAAAAATAAGATTCAAAATCAAACCAATAGAGATAGGATCACTGGTGTTTTCCCAGCTTCAAGCAATTTTCTTGTTTTGCTTAGAATTTTCATTTGCTCCTTGTGATATTTTCCTTGGTTCTGATTGACTGCTGTGATATCTTTGGTTTTGGTTTTGTGACATAACTTGAAATGACCTCTGACTATTAACTCTATATGCCAGAAATCCAGTGGTTTTTTTCGAAGTGCAATGAAAATTACTTCATGGCCAATGGAAGTTAGCATAACTATAGACACATATGAGAAATGAGACAGAGAAAACAATTTATCATATTTGATCAGTTATAAGATGCACTCAGTTATAACATGCGCATAATTAATTTGCCAATGATAAAGGAAGTGGTATGCTCCTCAATGTAGTTGCTCCAGAAATAATGGCAAGAAATAAGGTCCTCACATACTGAGCTGGGTTCAAGTTAGGATACTGGGAGTCACTCCCAGTCACATGACTCAATTTTTCTTTCCAATGCAAAGCAACAGCTTTGTTTCGTACCCAGTAACTAACTTGTGTCCTTTTGACAAAGTGATAGAAGTGAGAGTGGAGTCTGGTTGAGTAACTAGCTGTCTTACAGAAGAATGCAGTTGTTGACTGACAGAATGACTGAGTTATTGAATAAATGACTGACCAACAAATTAACTGACAGACCGACCAACCTACCAGAGAACTGTAAATGACAGACTGGCTGGCTGTCTGACTGACCACCTTACTGACA